TCCTGAATTTGCTCTCCATGTGCTGTTTTTCCAGATAACACTAAACCATGAGTATGAATGAAAGACATCACAACATCATAAATGATCAAAATCCTGCAGAAAAAGATACCCAGCTGCAAAATTTAGCTCTCCCTCTCACTTGTTTAATGTAACTTCCCTCATACTGAGGCTTTAAAAAGCAACTTTAATCCTCATACAGACTGCAGGCTCTCACCTGTCAGACAGGAACACTGGGAAAATGGACTGGATTTGATGAGTTCATTTTGCACAAGATTTGCACTCTGACCAACACAATCTTTGAACTGTTTGGCACTGGCAACAAGTGAAGCATTTAAAAGTCATTGAAACTGATACTGTTTTGATAAGATTAAAAGTAATGATGATTTTTACAGACAGATACCATTAAGTTACTCAAAAACCAAGAGAGAGCCACTAAAGAGCAGCAAAAGAGCTGCCTGCAGCCCCAGAGCTGCAAGTTTATTCAATTTATTTTAGAGTTTACTCATTAAAATAATCATTTAATAACTGTTTTGTTGTCTTTGTGCATTAGTGTGAATGCAGTTACATCTGATTAAAGGAAATCTGGGAAAATGTTAAGAGATTCAAACCTTGAACTCTGCATGAAAGGTGGGCTTTGATGTGAAACTTGCTGGCAACAATTAAAAGAAAAACAAAAAGTGCTGCAGGAGGCAGAAAATGACTTTTTTTTCTACACATCACGTAAAACAGCTTTTTGTGATGCAGCAGAAGAAAGTTACTGTTGGTGCAGTTGAAGGTGCATTGTGCTCCAAATGTTTCCAGTCCTACGTTTAACCTTTCAGCTCGACAACAACAGTTTACTCACGGCCATGAGAATCAGATGTGAGGGGAGGGGGGAGGTTGGATCAGTGCTGCACGAGTGGAGGTGGGAGTAAAAACGCTATCAGACTGTGACGACAGCAGCCACAAAAAACAAAAAAAAACTTTCCCTCCTCTGTATTATCGAACTCTCCAAGAACAGCTGTTACTATGTTGTGGAGTCAAAAGGCCGGGAAGCACTGTCCTGCCTGAGAGGAGACCTATGAGAGAGCTAATCAGGTTTAAACCAGTTTATACAGAGAAGTTTGATCTGCGCATTTACATTACATTTATTCACGTTATTATTGTGTAAGGTTATCTTGAATTTATTTCATCAGCCTGGAGGAAAGGCAATGTAAAAGGTCTTAATTTTTCTTATACTAGGCAACATTGAAATTTCCTTCAATCCAGCTGGACACTATGGTAGTTACTTTTCTTATCAACCTTCAAAGAGTGAAATGTAAGGTTCACATCATGGTATTGTATCTTGTTCTGTGATATCTATCCTGTCATATAGTATTATACTATGTGGTATATTAATCCATTGAATTGTACTCTTCATATATTGTACCATATCTTGGTGCATCATCACCATTGTGCATTCTACCGTATTTGACGGTGTTGTATGTATCCTATAGTGTCTCATTGCACTATGTGGTATTATATTTCATTATACACAATAAACCGTAATAAACCATATTGTTTCATATTGTACTATCATGTACACCACCATATTGTATTCTATTGTATTTTTACAAACTAAACCACACTGCAGTAAACCATATCTGTTTCCTATCATACTGTTTTGTTTAGTATTGTATCTTATTCACAGACTGTATATACTATGGACAACCTGGTTCCGCCTCCCATCATTATACGAACTTGAAGCTGAATTGCTCGCGGTATTTCCGGGATTTTCTCCACTTTCTGGAACCACCACTTGCACAGTAGCGTTGTACGCATTCGGCGAGAGAGTCGCTGTGATGATGCTCGGCTCAAACAGCGTTGAGCTATGCAATCTTTGTTACGCCCATAGGCTGTATCAAGTGTCAATCAACTTTTTCAACTTTTAAAAATGGAGCTGCACAGAAAAAAAGAGTACTTGAGCACAAACCAGTCTTACAGTAACTACAAGCCAACATCTCAAGCAGGGGGGAGAAAAATGTATGTTCTGTGTGATTTATTTCTAAAGGTTGTCCACAGCTCCATAAGGATTGCTGGAGGAGGCGGGATTTATGACCTATACTGCAGCCCGTCACCAGAGGGTGCGGTTCTTGTTATGGCTTCACCCAGCAAGGAGGTGTCCATTCTATATACAGTCTATGATCTTATTCTACTATATCCCTAAGTATTCTAATATATCATATTATACAGTACTGGTACCATATCCCATCTTATAGTAAATTGTCTGTGAACTGGTTGTTTCATCTCAGTTTTTCATTTCACTGCACGATTGCCCTCCGTCAGGCCCACTTAACCATCTCCTGTTAATATTAAACATTAATCCCGTTGAATTTATGCAGATGGAGCAACATTAATCAGGTTTTTGAAAACACTTATCCTCCATGGACTTTTATGTTGCAGCTTGCAGAATCATCTGTGCCATCGCAGCCCTGCAATCTAAACCATGTCTCCTTAAATCAACTAATATCCTGTCCTAAATCTGCCCTGCACTCACACAGCTGTGGGCAGGCTGGTTGGCAGTGCTGCTACATTCCTGCTGAGAGTCATGCTTAAACTCACATCAGACATCTTTAAAGGGATCCTTTGAACTCTGGTTACCTTTAAAAGCCCACCACCGTATAAAGCCTATTGAACATTATGAGCTGAGAGGAGTTTTACGCGTATTATCAGGCTAAATGCAGAGATCTCAGACGGCCTTCAGAGCTCTGAAGAAGGTCTTGGTGCAAAGTGATAACTGGAGGTATGTCAAAGTAAAATGAGTCAGCTGTTTGAGATGACACTGAGGCTGCACGTCAAAATAAAAGATCGAGTAATGTCAGATATTGTGTTTTTAAAACCCGTCTTTCAAAAGCGACTACAGTGAGTGACGTGTTGACAGAAACAGAATGGCTCTTCACTCGTTTTCCACCCACAGCAACTTCAAAATCAAGCCATAAGAAATGAACCCCACAAAGACTGATCAAATTTTAATATTTATTACGGTCGTATTTTCTCAGAGTGAAATAAATAGTAGGTGCAGTCAGCGCAAATGACACAAAATAAGATAAAAACAAACAATAACTCAAGATCATATTCAGTAAAACTGAAGCAGATATGACGACATTCAGACTCTTTCAAGATTTGCAAAAAGTGCACAAACTTCTTTAGTACATTCAACACACAGCATAGATACAGGATGTTATTTAAGTGAAAAGTGCTTAAAAAGTACCAAAAAGTGAAGGTGAATAGATGCAGAATTAGATACTCTGATCTTTACAGGTTTGCATTTCTGTAAATTATAAAATATACAGTTAAAAAAAACAGACTCATCAGGTTACATCTTTTACCTGGGTGCCTCACAAGCTAACACAACAGTGACGCCAAGAAACAAAAACAGAGCTACTGTAAGAGTTAGAGCAGATTAAACTTGAAAGACTTTAATAAATAAAATAATGGGAGAGGTTGATACAAAATCTCCACAAATTATGAACAAGTTAGGATATTTGAAGCTTTGGACAAAGAACAGACTGTTGTGTTAATATTTAAGAAAACCCTTCATGGAGGAACAAATGGGACCTGGAGCAAAGATGGAAGGGTTTGTTTTTTTTTGTAGAGAAAGGATTGGCCTTTTTTTTTTTAGATTTCAAACTTCAAAAATGGAGAAGTAAGTGAGCTAATGTTGTGCTGTGAAGCATTAATCGGGCAAATAAAGGCCCTACATTAGCTTTTAAGCTGAAGGTTTACCTGAAGACCCCCTAATGTCAGTGTTTGATGAGATGCATTCATGCTCCAGAAGTGACGTCTGTAAATAACTGAAATTTACTGACATTTCTGATCGTAAACATGCACTAAAACTTTAGGACATGCTGTATTAAGTTTACAACTTTATGCTGTATTAAGTTTATGAGAAACCACACACTAGAGCTCTTTGTGTTGAGTCCAGGCCTCAGCTTTCCCCCCTTTTTGACAGTCTAACATACTTATTTGAAAGTTTCTGCACAGGCGAGTTAGTAGTTGCCAAACAACAATTAACAAAGTGTGCACTGTTTTATGATTCTATAGGAAAAGGCAGCGTAGTGGGAAGTGCACCTTACATTTTGCAGGTGACACAACTGTAATGTTCACATACTGTTAGCAGATCCAGCTGAGTTTGCACCCACAATGCTGCTAGAACCTTTGTTTACAATGTCGTTCATCCATTTTTGACCAGAAAACCTAACTACTGATTTGCCCTTGAGTTTTTTTTTTTTTTGGCTGATTCACACAGGATTAAAAAACTTCTGGAGTTATTAGAGATAATCAGAAGTCCTGAGATCTTAATAATCAAATGAAAACCGGATTTAAAGATGGAGAAGATGAAGTTTAGGGCTATTTTATTAAATCTGCCTGGATTAAGAGATCAAGGAGATGCTGTTCTTGTTAAAATTCTAGCAAAGCAGTGCAAACTGTACAACAATCAGCTGAAATGTAGACGATGTCAGACTGCTGTGTTTGACTGCATGACTTGGAAATTTGTGCTTCAACTTGAAAAGATGGACAAAAGATGGAAGGTTTCATTATCTCTGCCAGTAATCTACCTGACAACAACTGTTGCTGTAAATGCAACATCACAGTGATTTGGTTTGTTTCTATAAAAATAAGACAAAACAATGAAGACACCGAGACCTCAGCCAACATTCCCAGGTGCTGCTCCAGAAACAACAAAAACCTCGTGTTCATTCATCAGATCTCGTCCTGTGGGATACTTGGTCTCGTCCTGACAGGGATTTTTTAGTGTTCAGAGGTCTTTCAAAGTCACCTTCTCAGAGTGGCTGCATTACACACACAGTGAACCAGAGCACACAACAGCAGATAATCCAGAGGTGGTGTTCTGTCATGGAGCTGACAACTTCCAATATGGCTGCTGGTGATGTAATGTGGCCTCTGTGTTTGCCTTCAAATCTGCTCATGACCCTGACTTTGCAGACGATTTCTCTAAGCTTGTCGCTCAGCGGTTAGCTTCAGTCTTTTCGACCCGATGGGTCCGGCCCAGTCACACTTAATATCGAATGTCCAGAACTCGTCTCTGTTTGATGGGGACTCCTGGAGCCTGATGGAGGAACTGTGCTGGTGTTCATTCTCCTGCGTGATGACGGCACTTTACTTTTCCTCTGAAGTGAAGACTTTGATTTCTTTCTGTACGCCTCTCTCTTTGGACTGTCAGGAGCTCCCAGATGCTCTGAGAGTCTCCTCTGATACACCGACTCAAACAGCTGCTGTGCCTGCGAGACAAAGAGGGAATAAAGAGAGGATTCAAGGCCGGGAAGCTCGGCTGTGGCAGGTAACCTTGGCCCTGTGTAAGGGCTGCAACCATCAGCTAGGATTTATCACAGATATCAACTTTATTATGGTTTCACTTCAAGTTTAAAGTCACAATTCTCACTTTGCGATGTTTAATAGTGTGTGCAAGAAAATGTCGTAGGTGTGAAATATGAGGAGTCCTCCTACCCTCTGTGGATATTTGTGAGGATCAGTAAAAGGTCAGAAAAACACAGAGAAAGAAAAAGACTGCACCACACTCAGGACCATGGAATAAATGTAATATTTCTCGACTGAACTCAGAGTCTGAACTTTTTTATCCACTTCTCCACAAACCAAGAATGAGTCTTACCATGTCTGGCTGTGTGCTGGTTTGAGGAGCTGTGGTTGTGACTGGGTATGCTGTGGTTGTGAGTGGGTTGCTCTTTGGTTTTGCACAGTAAAGCTCCAGGTGCTGCAGTTCACAGCCAGCTGGTCGGCAGCACTGGTCCACAATCCCCTTCCCTTTGGGCCGAGCCCCGTAACCTGACCCTGTTGTACGTTTACCTGTAGGCAGAGGGGGATGTTAGACCGGGGCTGCTCAATTTTGACAAAAAACAAAATCAGGATTATTTGACGCAACTACTCACATCTGAAACCTCTATAACACTTAAATGATATTTTATCGTTTTAAAAATATTTTATTACGATGTCTCTCACTTACACTAACAACATGCCAGTTGTTAGTTGAAGCGCTTGTCTCTTTTTTGTTCATGTGACTCTTTGCTGCTCTCAGATACAAGTGTCTGAACAATAAACCTATCAAACTCTGAGACACAGCGTCCTGCGCGTATGCTGCCATTTCAGTGGATGGCCATCGCTCTGATAGCAGGCAGAGGAGGTGGCCTTGGTGAGAGCGGGGGAAAGGTCACTAAGAGAGAGCGCTTGCGGGTAAATCTTTGTTGAAAGGAGATAAAAGTAAACGTGTGAATGTATTTCTCTTGTTCCAATGCAGGATCAGTGTTTTACACACGTGTATCTCCTGTTGAACCCCTCGTGTCTGCTGAGATGTCCTGCAGCAGTAAAAGTTCCTGCTCAGTCCAGATGAATACTGTTGAGACTGATCAGGGCATGTTTGTTGTTGCAGGTCTGATAAGTCTCACAGATCCTGCGGTGTTTTCATGCGGACACACTGACCGTGAACATATCAGTGTTATGGACCTCTGCTAATGTAAGATTTAAACACACGGGGTAAAATAGCCTTGATAGATTTTGGTCTTATCAGATTTCTATATTATTTAATAACATTAGCAATACAGAGAATATTATCTATCTGCATTTCGGTCAAAACAAAGATTTCAGTTTTGTTATTGATGTCCCAACACTTTACACTCACTGCAACGTAACATCACCATACATTAATAGCTCTCACATGGGAGTTAAAATTTTATTCTCCTCAGTAATTTTTCTACTCAAACACACTATCTTTGTGAACACATCAACTATTTCTATGCAGACAACACCCAACTGTACATTTCTGTTTCAACACATGACCAAAATGCTCTGCAGTCCCTCAGACATACATGTATGAATGAGCAAGAACTTTCTAAAAACTATATAAAGTTAAAAACAAAAGTCTTTATGTGCCAAAGCAGCCGGAGAAAAACTGGGTGTGATCTGAGATCTAGATATAAAGGTCAAAGGCCCTTCGTTTTATAATCTCAGAAACATCACCAAAGTTTGACCTTTTTTTATTAAGAAACATTTTGATGAATACAACTCCCTTTTTTGGTTTGCTCAAACGTCCCTGAGGAAACTCAACTCTGTGCTGACTGTTTCCTTCTGAAATTGATTTTTAACTTCTTTTACATGTTTTTAAGGCTCTACACGACCTCGCTCTTCCATTCATCACAGGTCTACTTTTATTTAATGTTGCAGTCCGGTCTTTCTGGTAGGTTTTAAATGTTCCTTATGTTGTCAATATGAGCAGCAGTTTTATTGATTTTACTGCTGTAGTGTCTGAAAGTATCTGTGATGTTTCACTCAGTTTTTTCCTCATGATACTTCTTAAATCCACTTCTGGATGGAAATAATGAGACTACACGTGTATATGGTTTAACAACGGTAGAAATAGTGTGTCGCCTCTGTCCTTTACTAAACAACTGCCTCTTAATCCAGAACAGTCAATCAAAATTACAACGTCACAGGTCTGCCCTGATGCATACATACATAAGATACAAAACAAGTTTTTGACCCTTATGTATTCTATACTCAATATGAACTGGACAAATTAAATTAAAATCCAAAACTATGAGATATGAATTCTGTATACTATAAATGTAGTCATCAAAACTCATGAATAGAAAATGGCAGTAATGACTGCTTTGAGTCCATCAAAGCAGAAGTCCTTTTCTATATCAGTCTTTTATTATTTTTCGCTTTTGCTGCTTTTTTCTGTTTGTTTTGTGATGTACTTTGAGCTGCGTGTTTAAATGTGTTAATAAACATGAGTGTATTTTCAATTCATGTTGAGTTTTTATGTAGTATAAGAAGGGTAAAACATCAAATAGGCTCACCGAAATAGATGCCACGATCTCCGCACACAAATATGAGGTCACTGAGGAGGTCAGATCCACATCGAGGTCTGAAGGCCCCTGAAGAAAGCGGCAAGCTGGACAGACACATGGTGGAGTAGAAGACGCACACCTGCACACACCACACCTGAGGAGGAGAAGAAGAAGGAGACACACTCTGAATATACAGTATGAGTTTAACAGTATGAACGTGTTGAACTTTCTACTGTCCAAACTCAGGGCGTAAACTGAAATGATGGGGGTTCACAGCGGTGGTCCTCAATGCTGGCTACCACCTCTGCTGCAAGCTATTTAGAGTTTCACAGCTGTCTGGAAGAATACTAAGCACTTTTAAATGTCATTAGAAATGGATGATTACATGCAAGGACACTGTGTTTATTAGTGAATTTGATGCTCCATCCTCCTTCCCTTTCCCATAAATTTAGCAATTTATCCAGACAGCCACTTTAATTGCTGGGTGAAAATCTGATATCATGACAGCCCTTGTTTCCACTGTCAGATTAGATAATTCTCTGACGCAGTAGATTATTATACATACCGAGCTGAAATTGAAAATGATCAGTTATCAGTTTTATCAGTGAACGCAGCAGGATCTGTTGACCCAATTTCAGAGGAAATGTTTGTCATAACTTAATAAAAGTCACAAATTTTCAATTACATTATAAGATTAAACTATTAAGTGGTTCAGTTAAACTCTAGATGGATTGAATGAACACGTTATGGTGATGTGAATGATCACTAATAAGCATCATCACTCCTTTCACTGGAGATTATTGTCTTTCTGATGGTCACTGTCCAAATTTGAAACTTAAAAAGGTTGTGATAATATTCATCGCCCATAAGATAGATCTTCTTTATAGATAACATTTTGTATAAACAGCATTTCAACGTTTTTAAACCCAGCTCTGTTAAATCTGCTTCTTCATCACCAAATGAAAACCAGCCTGAATGTTTCAGACAGCACTTTGTAGATGCTTTCAAGTTCAGTGTCAGGCGAGTTAACTTCTGCCTCTTTAGCGATACCCAAAAGTATCATCTAAATCTTGTTTTTGCATGTATAAAGAATGAATATAACAGAGTGTGTACAGGTGGGAGGGAACTTTTGTCACACCTACATTCATTCTGATATTGAGCTGTTAAATGGTTTACCAGGGCAGCTTTTCCCAGAGTGAAAAATCATCTTTGAACTGGTTATTTGTACTGATTGACAAATACAACTGATCAAGTCAAGTGTCTAATAAGTCTAATATGTCCATAACTTCTTGAGAACCACTAATAAAACGGTCCTAGAAACATGAAAGATAGCTGTAAACAGTCCCAGCAAAACTGAAGCACATTTGTGAATATTCTTTAAGGACATATTCAACTTGAACCACAGCAAATGTTTATTTTTTTCACTTTTGTTCTCTGTAGTTGTTGAATTGAAGCATCACGTTTCTGGAGGTTTAGCAGACAGACTGTGCACGAAAACCAGAATGACAGCAATGGAGCTTTGTGAGCGTTAACAGTAAGAAATCAATCCTTCACTGGGATTTACAGTGAGCTCGGTCAGAGAGGACAGAAAATCTTCAGCGGAAAAATAATTTGAAGCTTCTTTCCATGAAGCTTTTCTGGTCTCCGGTAAAAACTTGAATCAGAAACTTTTAGCCCGTCCAGCTGAAAGAAACAGTAACTGTGGTTCTTACCTTCAGAGTCTGAGGTCGGGCAGATGAGGAGTGCATCCTGTCTGTGTGGATGTACTCTGAGAGACCTGCAGGCTTTTATTCTGACAGGACATGAGAGGAGGAGGAGGAGGAGGACCACAGCTGGAGGTGTCCTCCCTTTGATCTTCCATCCTGAGCTACTATCAGAGGGTTTAACCCACAGATTCATCACAGACGCAAACACGATATCTGTTACTGTTTGAAGGTCTGAGTGCACTGGATTGTAACCTCTGCTTTTCCAGATGACAGCTCTGCAACCCTGGCTTTTTTTCTCACATCAGGTTCAGTGTTTTCATTCGAGTCATTTAATTCAGGATTTTATTAGAGGATTGACTTTTAAATCTGTGTGTCAAATCTTTTGAATTTGACTTACTTTGCAGAGGTTAGAAGAAAAATCATAAAGCAAATATGAGCTATATTTTTTAATAGCTAAATAAAGCCCTATTAGAATAGAGTGTGGGCCAGTTAGTCCTTTATTTGTTCAGCTAAAATCTGACAAATTTTAAAGATGAATTAGATTATCATACAAAAGGAAATACTATGTAAAGCCAAAAAAAGGACTTCTACTACAAAGTATCCAGAAGGCCATTTGACTTAATCTGAAAGTACATTCATATGTGGAAAACTTGTGTTTTACCACTCAGGGGGATGAACTTTTAGAGCATTTCTTCTTTAAATGTTAAAACACGTAGAATAATATTCAGGCTCAAAAACAACAAAAATGAATTCATGCAACATAGTTTGAAAAATGTATATGTATTTAGTGCTGATTATTGATCATTGTTAGCAAGCATACATGATGTTTTTACTACAAACAGGTTTTTGTGGTAGTTATACATCTATGAGGTTAGGGAGGTTTAAATGAGCTCTTTCCAGTTTACACCCTTCTGATGACATGTTAAAGCTTTTTTATCCTTATGAAAGCAAAATAAACTAATTTCATTCATTCATACTAAGCAGTATCTCTAATATCAATGTCATACTCAAAAATGATCATTAAGTTCAGAAAACTGCCTCTATGAGGAGTAAAAACTTAAGAGTCTTCTTCAAGAACAGAAAATTTGAGCTGTTGAATGTTTCTTTGTTGTTCTCACTTGTTTCTTTATTGCAGATTTGTCAAAATAAGACATTTTTTTACACCATAAGTCATGAAAGTGGCGCAAAGAGTTTATAATAAAAGTGGAAATGATAAACATTGACAAACATAAAGCACTCCTGAAGAGACATTGAGGAAAAAAAGTTCTTAAGTTGATCCTGAGAGACTTGTTCATTCAGGTAAATTCAAAAATCAGGTCATAGGAGTATATCCACAGATCTGCTTTTTTATGAGTCTTGACTCTTGACCCTAAATAACAACAACAACAACAACGAAAAAAAAAAAACAAAACAAAACAAAAAAACAACCAAAAAACACAGAGATACAACCTGATATTCATCAGTGACTCTAGCTCTGACCTGAAAGAGTGACAGCAGCTCAGGTTTACACAGAGACATATGTCAGAGGTCCTCACTTTGTTTTACTGCAGATGATGCATAAAAATCCAACAACTTTGGCCTCAATATGTATCCAGTCAACAAAAAAATAAAATAAAAAATAAAATCCTCAGTAAAAATAAGCAGGGATATCATTCAGTAGTTTTTAATATTTTACTATGAATCGTGACCGGATACTTCAAGGACTGAAACAGAGGCTCTGGTCTGCTTCATAAAAAAAAACAGGACTTTGAGAATAATTCACTGTACACATTTGAATCAATAAGCGTCTTGCACAGTAGATTAGGTATGTACCACTGCAGAGTCATGAAAAACATAAACTTCAGATACTTAAAAACCCCTCAACATAAAAAAAAACAAAAACTTTCAACCTGGTATCAGACCAGTCTTTTTACACATGCAGAGTGAGATATCAGATCAGCTGATCAGGGTTGGAAGAAGAAACAAGGAATAAAAGAAAATGCATTACCATCGAAACAAAACGCACTTCACAGCCCAGCAAGGACAAAAAAAGAAAGATGTGAATTTATGAAATCATCTGAGGAAGAAGTTGTAAATCTAAAATATTTAAGTTACAAATTCATGAAAGAAAACGTCAGAAATTTATGAGATTGAAGGTGTAAAATTAGATGATTTAAGTTGTAACTTATTTTGAAGAAACTTGTTAATATACAAGATTTTAGATGTGACATTTTGAGAAGAAGGATAAGGTTAACAGATCTTTGTTGTACATTTATAGGATCAAGGGTCAAATGTGTGATTTGCTTATTTAAAAAACTGCAGTCATAAATTATTATATTAATTCTGAAATCCACAAGTCCTGAGTTGTAAATGTGCACAGATTAAGTCATAAATTTACAAGCCTAAAGTTGTAAATTCACAAAATGGAGGTCATAAAGTTCTTGTAGTTATAAATTTACAAGATATAAACCATAAATTCACTTTAAGTTAAATTTACAAACTTAGAGGTGTAAATTTATGTGAATAAATACTGTTGAAGGATTATTTGATGCTAGTTTTTGATCGATCTCTTGAAATAAGATTAACAATGGTAACCGGGACCGTCCAAGTCTGGAAAAGCACATGAATACAGGACTGTTTTACACATAGAAACACAGTCCAAAAAGAAAAGGTTGTCCCTCACCTGAACCCTGGAAATTTAACGGCTGAAGTTTGTGACTCTGCAGCAGCAAACAACTTACCTTGAGGGCAGGACCTCTGTCAAGCTCCTCCAAACAACAGACTGTTTTCTACTACATGTTCTGAATTCATCACTGACCTCATAAACCCCACTTTTGAAGAGACTTTGAGTCAGTGACTCTGGTGTTTCATTAAGGCCTCCTGTTGTCTGAGTTTGGCATTCATCTGAGCAATCTTCTCATCAAATTCCAGCTCCCTATAGTCACAATCCTGCAGCAGGGAGGTGGAGGAGGCCCCCTGAGGCTCCCTCCTGGTCCAGCTCTGGCTGCTGATGCTGCCGTGATCACTGCTGTTCATCTGTAAATAACTGTGCATGTTGTTGCCCTGGCTGATGCTTCCTGCTTCTTCCTCTCCCAGCTCCTGAACCCCATTCTCTGTGTTTATCTCGTCCTGAAACGAGACAGCAGCCTGCTCTGCAGTTTGCCTCTGTTCAGCATTTACATGACTCTGACGTTGGCTGTCCACTCTTTGTGCTCTGATGGAAGACTGGGGGACAGTCTGAGATAAAGAATTCTCCCCTCTGTTGAGTGTTACCTTTCTGTACTTGCTTTGTGTCTCCTTGGTTTGGGGTTGATTCCTCTTGGACCTGTTGGCGTTAGGCAGCTGCCAAAAGACAAAAACACATTATCATCCCATAAAGCTCACACATATTAAAAAAGGGTCAAGTTTAATTTCAGACACAGCCTGCATGAAAAATGTAACCTCTACTCTCTGAATCTAAATACTGAGAATCATCGCTGTGCTGTCATCTGTTCTTCTCTGTAGGGCATCATGGGAGTAACCATTAACCCGACCTGCAGCACTGATATGTGGTGAGTGGCTGCACTGACGCTTATAAACAGCATATGACCACCATTTCCAACATCATGTGTCTGCAGAGCCTGAGACTGCAGTTTATGGTAAAACACATAAAATGCAGTTCTCACGGATACAATGCAATCACCAAGGACTGCTGCAAACAACATGAGTCTTAGAACTGTGGTCCCAGACATGCAGTCTTGAATCTGCAGTCTTCAGGTGTGCAGACACGTGCAACTCAGCATTGTTTCTGTAATAATGATGAATCAGAGATGAAGTAAAACATCACAAAAAGCTCTTGCTGGTCACCTCCAGGGCTGAACTTCAACCTATCAGATGAACTGCTATGTTTTTTCCCTGTTCTCCAGTTATCTGTGAGTGTGAGATCCACATTATCAGAAGCTGAAAGTCCCATTACCTTCTTCTGGCTGTGTGATGACGTGTCTGAAGGAGCTGGATCACATTTCTCTTTTTGACCCTTGTTATGCTTGGACCGCCTGATGGACAGGTAAATACGCCCCTGGTAGATGATGACAGCATCTTGTTTAATCTGGGGCACGGATCCTCGAGGTACGGCGGAGGTCGAGGATGTGTCATTTTGTCCACTGCAGGTGTCTTTTAACACCTTGTGAGCTGTTTGGTTTGAGACCGCAAAAGACATCCGTAAAGGTCCCGATGAAGCCTGAAACTCTCTGGCCACCTTTGAGGACACACTTTCTACCACACCGTTCTCTGGCTTGGAGGCCTGTTTCTGGCCTTTAAGTCGAAGAACTACAGGAGAGATCCATATCCCCTCTGGAGAGTCTGGGAGGTTCCTGGAGCCGCCAGAGTCTGACAGCGGAAGGCCCATTCGTGTCAGCACTGATTTTGGTAAACTCCGAAGAAGAATACTTTTCACCTCAGCATCTGCTGGGACATAGATTTCATGACTGCTCAGGAGATCCATGTTCTTATATTTCCCTGCAGAGAGAGTCAGAGGTCATCACTAAGGCAACAGTATGGCTTTATAAAGTAAATTGACGAATCTTCTGTTTTCAGTTGTTACCATCATTTCCACCTTTGCAATCTGTCAGATTTGGAGCAGTTTTGCAAAGAAGAGTGGGCAAATATTGCCACATCAAGATGTGCCACGCTGATAGACTCCTACCCATAAAGACTGAGTGTTGTAATAAAAGCTAAAGGTGCTGCAACAAAGTATTAGTTTAAGGGTGTGCATATTTATGTAAACAGGTTATTTCAACTTTTCTATTTTTAATTTTTCCCATTAAAGGTTTCTGTTTGTTTTTCACTTGGATTGTACAGGTTATTGGTCACATCAAAGGTGGAAAAAGTTGTGAAATTATTTATCTTGCCGTCATTTTCTTACATTACAAAAACCTGGCAGTTAAACAGAGGTGTGTAGACTTTTTATATCCACTGTACTCTCATCTTCCCAAATGAAATTTGAGAATGAGATTTAACCAAAATAACCAATTTCTTTTCATGCTTTTTTTGGGATCTTTATTAAAAGAGTCAGACAGAGGATGGAATAAGAACAGTAAAACTTCAATGTAAGGGTGGGGACTGACATGTGGCAAAGTGCCACAGGACCACATCCTCACCCTTACAAGCACCTGCCCCTCTTCTTGAATCAAAATCTGCAGAAAATATCCTATGATGATTTAGATCATGTTGACTGTAACTAGTGGTATAAATTAAGGTGGTCCACATAAGGGTCCCTACAAACATGATTCAAGTGATTCCAGCCATCAGAGACGACACAAGAGGCTTGATATTTGTGTTTTTCTGAAAGGTGACCCAAAGTATCGAGTTTGCTTCAATATAATTTAAATCTGTGAACAACAGAGGGTTCATGTAGAACTTCTTTGTAGCTTTGGTTTACATTCATTTTCCGTGTCTCACCTTAACACAAAACACCTAGTTACTGTATGTGCTAAATGTACTGAAATGGAGGTGTATGTGACACAACAGTGCTATTTATAACTTTGTCAGGTGAAAAATCATCATTGGGTGGTTATTTTCCGACCCTTTTACAAGTATGTTTCGCAAGTCTGACTTGTGTCTTTGTACATAAAGCCTTATCAATAAAGTTTAGGGCACAAATAAAAAAGTCACTCAGCAATGTCGTGCTAGCTCTTCGAAAGACGATCAAATCAGACTCTTTTCACTCTTGAATTAAAATGACACATTTTAAATCATGTGTTTTAACTTTAAATTAATTTAATAAAATCGCTGAAGACAGCTCTTGTCCCTCAGGTGGTGAAATCTTTTTACTTCATATTTTCGACCTAAAACCTCTCATACAGTCGTCACGTTTTGTGCTATTTACTGCCCTTCACCAGCGAAATAAAACACAGGTTATGATTTTCACATAAAACAAATATTATCGTCCAAATGTTACACGTACCTCCTGAAGAGAGTTCATGCAAAGCCTCAGGCACGCCAATTGAGTTTCTGTTGCGATTTCAGAGAAACCGGATTTCCGGGATGGCCCCTTCCGAATAAAAGCGTAACATAAGCGATTTAACCCTCACATACTGTTCAAATCCTGTACCCTCACAGTATGTTCCGGGTCAAAATTGCCCCTTCAAAGAGTTCAAAGAGCAGCTTTCTGTCACAGAAAGTTTTCTTGACTAGTTAGGTCATTTTGACCTCTGTCTAGGTGTGTCTGTGTGACTGTATGTCTGTGTGTGTGTGTGTGTGTGTGTGTGCGTGCGTGCGTGTGTTTCTGTCAAGGTAATGATAGTTTCATAATGATTTGAATATATCTTTTTGAACAACAAACCTTATATTGAACACTGTTGTTACTGTTTGTCACTTGTCCCACACTGCTAGATCTAAAATCCATCTAAATATAGATACGGGTCAAATTTGACCTGTAACAGCCTTCAGGAAAAGTCATCAAGTTTCAGGTTTAAAAAATGATGTTTAGGGTATTTTTTTACTGCTGTTAAAAGTCAAAACGGGTCAAATTTGACCCGAACAGTATGTGAGGGTTAAAGAAGGGGTATAAAGCAGGTCCACCGTGACTGTCAATTACCTGCTGTTGAGATTTTTACTGCGGTAGACTGCGGTTTAGATGTTGATGGTTTCAGTTATTTAACAAATGAACTGGTGTTTTCAGAGGAAAGGTTGATATAAGTAAAGGTAAGAATTTTATTGCCTTTCAAAACGCAATAGGTAAATACAGAACAAAATGTCGTTTGCACAAGGCCTCCGTTTTCAGATACATGCTTTAGGTGCAAAGGGATAGAACAATATAATAAAGGACTGCAATATAAACATTACGTATAAGAACTTCATTTTATTTTATATGTGCAGAAATATACTGTAAGTTGTAATTGTAAAAGACTTTTCTTGGGGCTTTGCTTCATGGTCAAATTTACAGGCACAATATCTTCTGTTGGCGATAAATTCTAAATTGTTAATGAAATTATCAAGTGTTTTTTTTTTAGACTTTTACATAAGTTTTACCCAAGTAAAGTAGCTGAATATATTGATACCAGGAATATCCTCCTGACTACGACGGACTTTGAGAAAAAAATAAATAAAAATCACTCATGTGTTTCATCAGTGTGTCATGCTAAAAACAAAAACAGGATTAGTAGGAAAAGAATACTTCCAAGTTTTGATGATTTTGATGTTTGCACATACACTGAAAGACTTGGCAGGATTTGATACCAACCTCGTGGTACTTAATGGATATTTTTTTTCCACCTCAGGAATGCTTTTGGGTTTTATAACGTTTTCAGGGGTTACAGGAAGAGGCACCAAAAGACTAAAGTGCAAGAGCAAATACTTTCAGCAACCTGGTGTTATTTAATAATCAAAATGGCTTACCTCCTGCTCGTATAGACTTCACAGTTTAGATATGTAGCACAGACAGAGGCAGGAAGAGTCTACAGACCGGCAGTAAGACCGACTCAAAAACAAACTAGGAATCAGTGTAGGAAGCTAAAGGGAGTGTAATGTGGTCAGTATTCGTTTAATTTGACGCTTGATCTATTTTCAATCCAGAGCTGATTTAAAGGTTTTAGGTTGAGGCATGAGTGGAAACTGAAGCAATAATTAGAATGAAAGGAGCTGAGGGAACAGGGAATGGTCTATAAATCTTTAATTGATCACATAGATTGTATTTTGAAATTGTTTCTCAGGGCTGCACATGTTTTATTGTGTGTTACTCCAAGTTTAGCTTGATATTTATTTCCCAGATTCTTTGCAAACAGATTCCAATAGAGGGCAGGATTTGTTTCCTTGTTATCTCACTATAAACAGTCATGCAGTTAATCTGATATGTGAATGGATGAACTATTACAACAAATAGTATGAGGGCTCATTTTCTTCTTAAAGGTTATTTTCAATGTCTTCAACCTCTGCCACAGAGGTGTAGGACAGGATTCGTAGGTCTCAAACTGTAATGTCTTTGTTCAGCAGAAAATATCTCCAGTGTTTCATATTAAATTCAAAATGTCATTTTTGTCTTAGAAATAACACATCCGAGCAGAGCGCTCCCAACATCAGTTTTAAAATCAGAAAGAACGAACCTACAAATAAAGGCATTAATGCGAGTGAATGTGTACTTTAAATTGGTGTTAGTGATGCTTTATCTCTGCTACAGTTTTTCCTCAGCAGCTCTAAAGCTGCTTCTTTCTCCCTCAGGAGCTCCCTGAGTCGTCTGATCTCCTCGTGACACCTCAGCTCATCAGAGTCGACAGAGGCTGTGCCCGATCGGTCCCAGTCTGCAGTGTCTGTTCTCCTCTTCACAGTTTGACAGCCCATCTTTCCAGATAATCTTCCACGTTTTCTTGCTGTTTTTGCTCCATCTTTTCTTCTCCTCTGCCCAGCAAACTTCTCAGCTAAGTCAGTTTTTAAACTCCACTTCACAGCCTTTATTGGTGAACCAGAAAAGCAGCATGGACATGTTGTGCGTTTCCTTGTTCGTCCGATCCTCCGTTTGTCCTCCTGTGCCTCTGTAGTGATGTCCTGTTTGTGTGGGCTGTCCTTCTCGTCCGTGCTGAGGACATCCTCGTCTATGGGTTCCATGTAGCTGATCAATGAGTCAGCTTCTGCTTCCCTTTGACCCTGGTGAACTTTGTTTTCTGAGGCAGAGAGGGTTTTTGTTCCTGGTTCAAAATGTGAACATTTAAGTGGGCTAATATGAGAGTATAAAGTCAGAGAAGTGTATTCTGAAGAAAGCTCTTCCTCACTTTTTACACCACAGGAGCTGCTGTTGCTCTCCTGATGTCCACCTTCTGTCATTGTGGACTTGCAGTGGTGATGCTCTACATGAGAGAAAGCAGTTGAGGCCTCATCAATCCTCTGAAGGCAAATTTTCACATCAGCTGTGACCCCGAACATCTGTCTGAGCCGATGGTCTGAAATTTGTTGGGATTTTGATTCCAGGCAAGTGTTTTGTGAAGGATTACTGACGCTCTGCAAATAAAAAAAGATAAAAAGATGAAGAAGAGGTACAATTTATAAACACCATAGTTCACAGCCCCACAGAGACTGTTTAAAAAGAGCAGGATAAAATCATTTGATTAAAAACACCACTGAGATATGTCAAAGGCAAAGAGACATGGAGCTGCATGTTCAACAGCGGGTGCCAAAACCAAACCCTAACAGAAAGTTACTCACAGAAACTTTCATGTCCAGTCATGTTTAGGGATAGGGTGCATTTCAGGAAAAACAGCACTAACCGTTTTTATATTTACCTCTTCTTGTAGGGTGGAGAGGCTCTGCTGACTTATCACATATAAGTGTTCGTTTTTGTACATGCTCATCCTCGCTGCATCACGAACACTTGACGGATTTGTTCCTGTCCTCTCAGCTCCTCCGTCACCACCTGAGCCCATCTGATCTGGTTTCTTCCCAGGTGCTGCTTTTGGAGTAAAATCCTCTGCTGTTCCAAGCTTCAGTTTAGGTGGAGTGTACGACATGAATATGACATTGTCTTCATCAGATGAGGTGGCTGCTGATGCTACTTGCTTAGATATGTCCTCCTGAGTGTCATCACAAAGATCGATCACTTTACTGGACATACTTTGAATGATGACCTGCTTTTTTTGGACCAACTTTGGAGAGGGTCCATTTGTTTTGGTGAAAACATAAGTCTTTGTTGCTGGTCTAGAGGGGTCATTTTGTCCGATTTGTGCATGTTTTGAGAAGACCTTCCCGTTGCACAGGACCACAGTGTCCTCCTCTCTTTGTCCAGTTGTGTCCTGACTCATCAAGGAAATATTTTGATACATGACGTCTGGAGGCCTACAACCCTTTTCTCGCTTTGCCACAGCCCGAATGACCTCTGAAGCAACATAAGAAGACACAACAGCTTGAGGAGGTCTTGAGTTCTTTTTCTCTTCAATCCTCCACTTGGTGGGGCTGTTGGGCTTTTGTGGAGCCTGAGGGACTAACATAAGACCTGGTTTGGGTCCAAAAGATGATGCATATGGAGTTTTCTTAGGGAGCAGTTTACGCAGGGGTGGTGAAGGAGTACTGACCAGATTAAAGTCCACATTCACAGGCTTAATGGGTGAGATGTAGACCAAATCAAGGCTTGAGTCTGGAGTGGAGATTGCCGATGAAGTAATGATGGGTTGAGTAGGCTCTGATGCTGGGACTGTCAGCCTTCTCGGGATGCAGGAAGTTTTGTTTGCCACAAGGACGTGACCAGGAAGTGTTTGAGACTTCACACAATGAGCAGCAGTTTTTTCACTATGAGCAGCAGGTTTTTCACTTACAGGCACTTTCTTTTGAGGTAGAGGTTTGTCTTGTGAGTGATGGAGATCTATATCTCCTTTCGAATAAACATCCTTGGGTAGGACTTGCATCCTGAGAAACTGTAGGATATGAGGATCAGAGGCTACAACCTGTGCAGGTAAAGGGGTCATATTTGCAGTCACAGCGTTCCTCAGTGACGGACTGGTTTTGGGTTGGCTTGTCTGACTCTGGACCAACCCGTTTTTCACCATCTGAAAAGGAATCAGTCTCATGATGTTCTGTCCATTGGCTCCAACAGCAGGTACAGCTTGGTAGATGATGCCAGACCCACTGAGAAGAACATAAAGGACAGAAATCAGCATGCAGAAAGAAGTCTACTCAGTCTGACGATGGTCTTAGGTAGGAAAACCAAGAAAACAAAACAATGGAGTTAAAGCAAGAGAGCAGAGAAATCTATAAAACTGAGGGTGGAGCATGAAGTCAACTCCTACAAGAATGAGGTATGGGATGGCAACGCTCATTTTTTCCACGTTTAATTAAAAATTCAAACTGCCAAACTTGTCTTAAATTGAGAAATAATCAGGAAACCGTAGGGCTGGGCGATATGGCCTCAAATCAATATCACAATATATTGAGCAGTTCACCTGGATAACGATATATGAACAATAACTCCTCCACAAGTTGCTCACCCCCTCCCACATTAACTTCATCTACTTCAGCCGCCGCTCCAGCCGCTACAACTTTTGAACTGTCCTCCATCTCCTCACCTGTCTTTCCCTCTTTGTTACGGACTGGATGGGCTGGAGTCTCTGACGTAGGACAGCGTCTTAAAGGGACATGAGACCATAGCCTACCTACACACATCCAAATCCAATTTATATTATTATAATTTATTGATACTGAATATATTGACATGGGCAAAATGATGTCGGTTATTGTCGTAAATTTCAGTATCAGTTTTGGTTTTCGGACTTGCTGAGTGTGCTGACTACGAGCACAGCAAGCACCGCTAGCCTTCAGTCATGCTAGGGCTGTCAAATAACAATAACAATAAGCAATAGTTCAGACACGTTCAAGTTTGGAAGTCCTGTTAGTGATGGACTTTCTCGTGGTCTTACACACAGAGCCTGCTATATAAGGCAGTCATACAGGGTTGATGACACACTGATGGTGCCTTCTCTGCTGTTGCTTCACATGGATAGAAAACCATCAAGTGAGGCTGGTTGCTGATGAGTAAGACAGCTGCCTTCCTGTAAACACACAGCTCTATCTTTGCATTTCATTTCCATCTAAGGTACTGAACTCAATATACTTCCACACAGCGCCTCTCAGGCTTTGAATTGTTGTGATTGCGCTCAGTGGCTTTGCTTAACCATGTACTCCACTTTTGGAGAAAAACATCACTGTATTAGTTTACTGAGGTCAAGGGTGACTGGGCTGGTCAGGTTAGGATGACAGCACCCTCTGCTTAAACATACAGTGAACTAATTCATGCCTGATAATCTGGTAGACTGTATTAATATGAGCCCTAGTACAGTAAAAACATGAGTTATGGCCATAGACTGTATACAGAATAGACATCATCATCTGCTTCTTTGATGGTTGAAGCCTCCACGAGAACAGCACCCCCTGGTGACTGGTTGCAGTATAGGTCAAACCGTACCTCCTCCAGCAAAATGAATGGTGCTGTGGTCAAACATTGGAAATTAAATACAAGTCATGCGTTTTTTTTTGCCCCTGGTTACGATGTTGACATGCACTTCTTAGTGCTCAAGTCCTCTTTTTTCTCTGCAGTTCCATATTCAAAAGTTATAAGGGGTTATAAGACTGGAAAAAAGTGATATAGATTCACTGACTGACACTTGGAAGCATAGATCATGGGGCGGGGGCCGGCCAAACGCTACTGCACAAATGCTGGATTCAGGAAATGGAGGAGAAACACGGAAATAGGAGCTTTTTAGCTTAAACTGACTGGGGGCGGAGTCACATAGTTCATATTATATGAAGGTTATGGTTAGGGCCATTGCCAGCCCAATTTGGCACGCTGACTTGCATTGCTCCAGGTTAAGTTTAATAGAAACTGTGGTTATTTGAGTCAACACAAAGAAAACTTATTAGTACAGAGTCAGTGTATATTAAGGGCTCCATTTTCTTATTACAAAGAAACTGCACACAATCTCAGTGATTATGTTTTCAAACTGGAACCTACCCGGGAGTGTCCTTCACAGGTGCATACATCCTTTTCGAACACACTTCAAACTTGAAGAGTTTTCATCCAGGTGAAGTCAGCAGTGTCGGCTACAGAGGAGCCCGCACACATGCGCATTAGAGACATAAAAGAATCAACCCACTGTTACAGGTGAAGCAAAAATACTGCAGACCTTCGATATAACGTTTGGCTGCATCGCCTGACTCTTCAATCGATGTGAAAGAAACGCATTTGTCCAAACTTAGAAGAAAACATTAGTTATTTTTCTTCTGGTGAACCCTTTATTAAACCCTCGGATTCCCCCTTTTTTTACCCGTGTACTTCCGGTCTGCCGCCGAAGTTGCGTTCAACAACACAAATTTGGTTTGCATCAGGGGTCGTAGTAGATATGCATTAAGGTTAATATTTCTTTTTTTTTATAATGATTTAAAATAACTCAGATTTGATATAACTGACAATGAAGATTTTCCACCTTTAAAGAGGTAAGCTTGTTGACTGATAAAAATTATGGATAGAAAATTTATGAGGATGAATAACAGTTAATTATTTTTTCAGATTACGATTATTGATCTTTTATGTCACAAAAACAGAGGCTATGTCTTCTTTTAATATTTGGAAAGGCTTATTTTTGCAGACAGAGAAAATAGTTCACAAACGTTAAGACAAAGAAAAGTTAAAAATGATTAATATAAAGGTAATAAAGATAATGAAGAAACTATTTAGTCTAACTATTAGCCCCTTATTTACCTATTTTTTATGGCTCACTCCTTTTGAGAAACTTTCCATTAATACCGTTTTTCAGTTGTTTTTACTCCATCTGTTCATTTGCTTGTTTGGAAACCTCTTTTAATTCACGTTAAATAAAATCAAATTTAGACCTAAACTTAGTTTTTATTTTTTATTATTATTTTTTTTAAATAAATTTAAGACAAACTCGTACCAATTGCACTACTCAACGGTTTACTGTGCTACTGTACTGTGTCGTTCATGTCCTGCAGTGTTTAAAATAAGTGCAACAGCTCTTGAACACCCCCCTTTTTAAACATTTCCGTTGAAACTTCATTTCCGGATCCGCTCCCGCTCCCGAAGTATTTTTGTTTTTAACTCTTTTGTCCCTCCAAACGACAACAAAAAACTTATCAGATGATTCAATGAGAAGAAGAAATGAGACAAAGTTTGGTAGTTGATGAGCAGTAAAAGTTTTTTTGCCAGTGTTATCGAGTTATCGCAAAAATAGCGACTACTACTGGCCTCCAAAGTCTCTTGTTAAAACTGTAGGAGTCATAAGAAATGTAAGTTTCCAAATAACGATTCATTTAATTTTTGAACTAATAAAAAGCCTTTTGGGATTTATTTTATCAAATATATAATAAACACAGTGGAAGATGTGTGATATCCTATTAAATAATGTTGTGGCTTTCTTTCAGCCTCTTACCAGTAGGTGGCAGTGGGGCATAAGAAAAATAATAGCTGAGACGTTTGTGGAAATACTGTTAAAGGTTCAAGATTCAAGCCTTTTTGTTACCATTTTCTGCCATATGTGAGTACATGCACAGGAATCAGAAATACAGCGAATATATTAAAACTACAAATGAATAAAAAACAAAAAAAAAAAAAAAAAAAACACATTACATACAAAAAAAGGCTAAACACTAACAACAACAAAAAAATCTGTGAAAAACTTTAGAGTGTAAATGACAAAATCTACATAAAAGTAAAATAATGGTCGCATAAGCACTTAATCTGCTGTGAACAAAAAGTTAAATGAGCACTTTTGATCAGGACAAACGATTCATACATAGTACATAGATCAAATGGAAGAGCCCAGAGTTCATAAAGTAGCATCAATTAAGAGCTTGTTAAGAAAAAAGGCTCAATTTTCACAATATAACACATTTTAAGGGTCTGGATCTTTCCTATTTTCATAGCCGGTTCAGTACTATTCTGTGGCACAATCAAATTCAATATATGCAAAACACTGTAAGAAACAAAATATGATTTCACTGTCAGCACCAACAGACAGTGACACTGAAAAGACACCTTCTGGACAGTACAAGCATTAAGTGGTGAATCAAAAGTATTGTTTTAATTCATATTTATTAAAAAGTTACAAATGGCTAAAAAATGCTACAGAGAAAGAGAGAAAAAAGTAACTTTATGCATTTTATAAGGGTGAACTCAGTGCAGATGCAGCATTTTTATTTGACTGACAGCTAGTCCCAACAGAGATCAGCTGATGCTGTCATTTTTTATGATGCTTCGGTGGAAAGGATGTCTCATGTCCCTTAAAATACTTTCTTTTCCTTGTTCTTTTTCTCTGCATCTTTCAATATCCTTTCATCTTTTATGCATCTCTGGTGGGAGGGATTAAGTGGATACAGTTTAAGGGTAATGGGGTATAGAATCTGTTTCCTTCCAGTGGGCTTTTGCCTGTCTTTCCTTGGATTTTACGGTTTCCTGCGTTTCCTTTGAGTCAACGATTTCTTGGAAAGTTTTTGTTGCCTCCACACACTCCACGTTCTTGGCTTTTGCAGGAATCTGAAGCAGGGATAAAAACAAATTCAAAAGAGGCTCCTGAAGGCCATTATTGATCAGCATGGCATGGTGGGATCTTGCAAAGTAAAACATTCTGCATAACACACCAGGACCAACATTGTTGTGCATCCATCTGTTCATAAAGTCTGTTAAAGTTGCTTTGGCATTATTATTTTTACAATAATCAGGAGGTGGAGACAGTCCAAGGCTTTCTGGGGCTCAACTTACACACCAATGAGTTGTGTCGTTGAGCATTACAGTGTTTGTTCTCTTTATCCTGAACAAGTGGCCCTTGAAGCTGGATTTATACTGTGAAATGTGTCTTAAAGCTGTCGTGAATCAACCCCACAGTAAGCCGGTTAGAGATTCCTCTCTCCACTCTTTCAAAAGAACAGTTATCTGATGTTTTGGGGGAGGTTTAAGTTGTATAAAAGCTACTGCATATGGGAGTAAAGTTTGTTTCTTTCTTTCACTTCTTGGGGTAGGAATAAAATATGACAAACAAAAGAGGGTTTCATTGGTCTTGTGGTGAAAAATGCTGGTTACTGCTCGGTTACACACTCAAAAGTTTAAATTATTACTGATAAATCACAATTTTGGAAAAGTTGGAAAAAACAGGACTGAATATTTACCTGGTTGCAGACAGCTTTCCCGTAGCGTATAAAGGTGGCGAAGTGCTCACAGTTGAGGCTGAGCAGTTTATAGGTGAGCTCTTTACCAAGGAGGCCATCCCGCCGTCGCCTCATATCTTCGGTTGCTGTTGCTCTGAGGGCGTGGCCGTTGTTACTGATTGAGACGTGGGCTCCCTCTGGGACGGTCACCTCTCCAAGGGGCATCCTGCGTATCTTTGTTGATCCCAGAAGCAGGTCTCCACATACAGGGAACATTGCTTGTAGGGAGGTCCGCACTTTGTTCATTAACTTCCCCTCCTCTGAAAATAAAGAGACACAGTTGACCTTGAGGACGTGCGACAATCTGATAAAATGACTCTTTTCCTTCTACCCTTAAAATGCATTCAGGAAAATGACTCAGATCTTGATTTTCTAGTTTGACCCTTGTCTCATCTGTTGAAATTAGGGAAGCAGGCATTATGACCCATGCAGGGGTCAGTTGGTGACTGGGTTGGAACTGGTCTAAATATTTTGGCCTTATTTTTAGGGCGCTGTGATCCATCTTGCTAAACAGTCTATAAGACTAACATTTTAAAGCCCAGAGTTTGACATTTTAGCACTAACTATCCTGTTTTGAAGCTCAAGGTGACCATGTTGACACACAACATCTCAGGACTGAGCAAGTGTTCATTTATGAAAAGTAAAAAATCTCTTTAGACTTGGTTTGAGCCACCTTTACTTGGCAGGTCCACGTAAATATCATATTTAAAGATATTACAAACAGAATAAAAAGGCCTCACCTTCTCATTTTGAGTAAAAAAATCTGCTATTGAGGTGAGCAAACTCAAAATAATGTCATGATTTCAAAAACTCAAAACATTATTCTTACTCATCTTGGCAGATGTTTTCACTCATCTCAGACAATTCCGGTCTTAATTTCTTGCAACAAGACATTTAATTAGACTTTTCAGGTACATTTAGCTTAATATCAGCTCATTTTGACTTTTTTATGGCAAGATAAAACTCTAGCTCAGTTTTTGCAGTGGTTTCTTGTGGAGTTGCCCTGCTACCTTTGTAGAGAACAGTAACAACATGTTGATAACACTGCATTTGTGCCCAAAGCAGACCATGTTTTGTTCTCAGTGTTCCTTACATGGGCCCATTCTTTACAAAATCAACATCCTGTGTTTTTCAGAAGACATGAAACCAGCAGTATAAGAAGACTTAAAGATTATTTCAAAAATGTAAAGTGTCAGTGTGAACTTGAATGATTCCCTCATAGATGTCTTTGGCATCAGATTTCTGGTCATTAGGAAAAATACAAACACTTCAGGATTAGTGTGACTTTTACAAACCAGCCAAGATGTTAAAATAATTGTCATAATTTAAGTAGCAAAACACACTTTTTTGAAACTTTTTATACTTATATATAGAAATCTTTAATATGGGACGTTAGATTGGCATTTGAGGTTGGTAACCATGAATGAATATCACATTGAGCTGTTTTAAGGGGCTGTAGCAGGACTTTTTGTCTGTTTGTACAAGTTGGTTGAATAAATCTGCAGCCAGAGAAACACAAATTTCAGCAGCAGGTGGTTCGAAACATCATCATTCAGGTAAACTAGCTGTTTATTTAATTTTTTGGGCCATATTTTTTCTAAGCATTGTTTTTTCAGCATCCTGACCTGATGCCCATCTGACCAATCATCCTCTCATTTAGAAGCAAATTCCCCTTATTTTTTTTTTTTGATAATTCTGGAGATGTATTTAAGTTACAGAAACGTTTGAAATGAACCAAAAATATGCTTCACAAAGGGCTGGAAAAATAAACTGTCATAGTGCTAATATTATGCAAACATTTGATTGTCTTTCATACATCAATTACATAAGAGTTCAAAGTACATTTTTTGACAGGTACAGAAAACTGTTTGTTCAGTGCACTTCAAGTGAGAACAAATGTACTTGAAACACAGTTCATGAACTTTCAATGTAATGAAGTTGGCTTCTCTAAACTGGGGTGTCATGCTTTCTTTGTTGAGTGTACTTATTGAAATACTGTTTCAATTGTGCACATTATCATATTCACCTGCTACAGCAAAATGGATGACAAATCCGTCCTCATCATACACGCCCCAGTGTGAATATCCTATGGGGTAGGAAAACTGTATCAGGTCTCCAAATTTGGCTGTGGCAAGAACATCCTCAACCTGTGATCGGGGCAAAACATGACAAAACACGACAAACAGTTAGACAATAATAAAGAAGTCCCCACCCTGCACGCCTCCACTCCCAGCCAAGACCAAGAGCAGGTTTAACCGCATTTCTATCTGCTGTCTCACCTTTTCCGTAATGTTTCATATAGCTTATCATTATAATAAGGTAAACACTTTGTATTATTTGTTTTTAAGGCATGAAAAAGCAGTTTTTGTGATATCTCGGTCTTGCTTTGTTGAAGCTTAATGTGCCCAGTAATTTTTCTCTAAGTAAAAGGTGTCTACTTCATAAATTTCATTTAAAAATATAATAATGCAGGATGTATCACTAGAAAACATTACAAGTACATTAATCATGAGATGACAATCTCAGAATTTCACTTATTCCAAGTTACTGAACTAAATTTACAGATTCTATACTGAGAAAACAGAAGATTGCATTCCTTACAAAAATAATAAAATTGTACTTTTTGTCAGACAATTACGAAAAAAGTGCAAAAGAAAACTTCAGATTGTGGCCTGATCAGATAAAGAACAACATTTTTATGTCTTGTAATACAAATTCACTGTAGCCTTTTAAAAGATAAATCTGAGCTGCTCGGCTCTTACCTGCTCATGATACTCCATAGTTGACTTCCTCCTCGTGTATGAATGTGAAGACTGCAAATCAGACGTCCTAACTGGGTGTGTAGTCTGAGAATCTGGTTTGGACTGTTTGTTGATCAGGAGTTATTGAAGGGGAAACACAGAAAGCTGATTGGCTAAAGCATTTAACAATTACTCTTACAACAGCAATAAATGACTACATCATCTAATAACAACACAATCATGCAGAATTAAGCCTTGAAGATCATAGTCACACAAATGAGTGGTGAGTTATACATGCTCATATGAATTAAACTGTAAGAAGTAATGGGAGTAAATGCTGTTTCAGGAGCTGATTCATAACTGAAACTGGACATAGCTTACATGACTGCCAGTCAGTTCCAGGACTTTGCCCGACCATTCACACCTATATTTCAAGGGAAATCTATATTTATTCAGCAAACCTTACCTGCATCTCTTTGATCCGTGTGAGGACGTAAGAGGGCCTAAAGATATCCAGCAAAGCCCCAACCTGGAAACTTTTCAACACAAGGTGACAGTTCTGCACAATCCTGCAGCCCCAATGTTACCATAATCATAAAAAATATTTGATCTAAATCCACCTCAGAGAGCCTGTAAATCAGTTCAAGTAATCTTGTTAGTCTGTGCTTACAAAAAACTTTTTTTCCAGCTTTGTTTTTATTCAGATATTCTAGATGTCAATCCAATACAAAGCTTACGATGGTTTTTAGAAAGAAAGACTCATCACTCAACATTTTCCTCTTTAAAATAAAAGTGATTTTTTTAAGCACCCTGTGCAACCCATGTGCATCACTTTTATTTTATTTCCCTTTATTGATTTTCAGCACCTTACAGTACAAAAGAAAGCAGAATGAGAGGATGAGCAACAGATTTAGGAGAAGGAAAAGCACCATGGCAGCACAAACACACAGCTTAGAGTTTCCTCAGTATCATCGACTGATATGAGGGAGATGCTTATGTAAGAACACTGCTGAGAAGTATGCACAGACAAATAGTGTTGACCAGATTTCACCACTTGAGGGCCCTATTTTTCCCTTTGTGGTTTGTGCATGACCACATGCACAAAACACCCTTCTGAGAGGAGCTGCAGCTTCTCTCTGACACTCCTGGGACACAGATACAAATGTGTTTTCAGTGTGAGTGTAGGAAGTCCTCTGATGGTAAGAATAAAAGACTTTGTCATGCACTCCTCACAATGATTGATTTTTTTTTTAATCCCTGAATGATGCAGTTTGAAGATGCATTTCCTGGACATACAGTGAAATATTACATCAACATATTGGGATCAATCCTGAGCAGCTAGAGAGGGAGTCTGGGCCTTGTCATGCATCCCTTGCTGTCATACCAGATGAATTTGTTAGGTGGCTTCTTTGTCTATATTTGCTCCATATTTACTGAGTGATAAGTGAAATTAATTTATTCAAGAAGCTGAAGGTTGAAGGTTAAATAAACAGGACAGTACTACATATTGTTTCCAAAGTGAATGGCCCTGCTGCTGCTGACACAGTGAAAGGTTGAAGGCTGAATCTCCCAGTAGTTGATGGGGTTATCAAACAGACTGATGCCGTTATATAAAGTCCTCTTCATGCTGAAAGGCTTTGGACAGAAGTCGTTGACATCAACACTGCTGATGTTGTTTGAGTGCAGGTAGATCACCTGGTGGAGAAAACGGGTATAGAGGTGAGCATGAACTGTCTTCTGCAAGGTCTCACTAGCTGCGTTTACATAGGCACAAATAATCAGAATTAAGGCCTGATCGGAATAAAAATACATCATGTAAACATATCGATCGGAAGACTCTGATCCAATTCAGCTCACTCGGAAAGAAATTGTATTCTGATCGAGAGGGGTGGTTTATGTCGATCGTTATTCCTTTACTCTTGAACCTTTCACTTATTTATTGAGGTCAGTACAGGAGGTTATATTATTAACACTCTGGCATAAAACGCAATGGCAGATGCCATGTCTGCTCCTACGATAACATAACAAGGCGTATATATAGCGGACCCAATGGACAAGTGTCTAAACCCTGCGGAGAAACAGGCTGTACCTCCTAGGCCCAGACTCAACACATGATTGTATACGGTGCTAACCTGCTGTGCACAATGTCAGATTTTAATACTAATGCAGAGCGGTGAAACAACATAGGTCTGTATTCTTGTCCACTCTCTGTTAGGGCTACATTTGCACCTCACCTGCAGGTGCTTCATCTGTGCGAGGCCATCAGGGACATGGGTCAGCAGGTTATTGTCCAGGTGAAGCTCCCTGAGGTTGTCAACATAAAACAGACTTCCACGTTCAATGTTGGTGATCTTGTTGAACCCGAGGCCCAGTCTGTACCAGGAAGAAAGATCAGACACAAACACGATCAGAATATCAGACATGGTGAGATGGACGCTTATTGTATAAAGACATGCAGATCGAGGACAGACTACAGAGCAATGGTTGAGGTTTCAGCATGGCCAGTTGGAGCTCCAGTGGGATGTACCGAAACTGACATCTCCTTCAACATGGATACTTGGTTGAGTGCAGCCAATGGCCCAATGTTCCTGTTTAAGTCCCTTCTGGGTCAACAAGGGGCCATAAAATTGATCCATGTAGGTCCCATAATGGACGGATGTAGGCCATTTGGGATCAACTAAATATCGCCCTGTAGTTTTCCCCAGGGTTTTCCTAATGGATCTTTAAAACAACAACCTAACTGATATCCAGTTCACACCCAAGACAAATTTAAGACCAGCTAAGCCTTGCAGAGATGATTTGGTCCCACTTGGACATGTTGGCTGGGTGTTTATAGATGTCAAAAATTTCAATTATTTGAATTTATTTAGGGACAGCCCCTTGAGACACAGCATCTCATTTTCAAGGGGGTCCAAAAAACACATAGATACAACATAAATAATACTCAGATTAATTTGATTGTGTCACTGAAATGGATCCACTATCGTTGTTTGTAAGTGAGTTGTTGCTTTTTTAATGCTTCATCCATCCACCAAGTTTGATGAACGTCAGGCCTGTAATCTTGAAATGACCAGGCTAATAAAACCACTAACAAACTGGACCAAAAGTGTCACCTCCTTGGTGAATATAGATCAATAATAATAAAAAATCTCTGTTTAAAGATAATGTAATCTCACCTAAAAGACTCACCTGTACAACTCTCCATACTGCATCAGGTCCTCTACATGGATGGCCTTGATTTGATTTTGGTCCAGATGTAACTCTTTGAGGTTAAAAGGTAGATCTGACATGTGGGAGAAAAGCACAGTAGTTGATAAAGAATGTCGGTTCTTTCATTTGACACCTTTTTAATTTTCTTAATGAGCTCTCAGAGCTGATGTTCACTGCCAGTTTATACTAAACCATCAGGAAAGCTGAACATGTAAATGTTAACTAACAATAACTGTTACCTTTGGGAACACTTGTGAGTTTGGCTTCTGAAATCCTCATGTATTTTACTCTCAGTCCATCAAATGCACCAGCCTCCAAACCGCTGTTTCTGATGGGATTACGTCCCAACTCTGTCATTTAGAAATAAACAATTACTTGCAAATCTGCAACTTTCACAAAAAGTCGCTTTTAACTTCATTGGTCAAAAGCTGCTCTATTTGATATTTGGAGGGAGGTCTTACCGATACAGTTCATGCCGTACAATCCAGAGAAAGCCCCTGATGCTATTTTCTTGATGCGGTTGTCATGGATACGTAGCTCCTCTAAGGATCTAGGGAGGTTCTTGGGGATGGCGGTCAGCAGGTTGTGGGACAAATAGAGTTTCTGCATTCGCTCAAGAGGCAGGAAGGCACGAGGGTGGATCTTGGAGATCTGATTGTTCACCAACACCAGAGCCTGTGAAAGCAGAAGATAGAAATGGTCAGAGAAAATGGGTAATCAGAGTTCTTGTGGTGATTCTGAGGTCTAGTCCTGGGGCTGTGTGCAAGTGTAACTCTTCTGGGTCTCTGGCACAGGGTTCTGGGTCATGACTACCATAGTGTAGTCTTTGTTGATCTCAGTTTAAAAATATATATAGATCATTCCTGCAACTCTCTGAAGGCTGGTTTCTGGGACTTTATTCTGCTGCCCTGAGGTCTACATATCCCCTGTCTTTGGGCATTGATTCTACTTTAATATATTTCTGTTGGTACAATCACAAACTATGGGTTGTTTTGGAGGATATAAAAACTTTGGTGTTGTATTGTTGAAAGGACTCGTTGGCTCTTACATAGAGGTTGTTCAGTCCCTTAAAGTCGTTCTCTCTGATCTCGGTGATGTAGTTGCCCTGTAGGTCCAGCAGTCTGGTATCAGGAGGAATGTCATGAGGCACATAATATAAACCTAAAAGTAGAAAAAAGCAGAGGGGCTTCACTCAGAGGTCAGTGCTGACATTTAATACAATTATAATATGGGGTGTACCACAAGGATATGGCACACTGGGGCTGCTGCTGTAAACTGTTCAGTATGTGTTGGCATTCCCAGCACCAAGACTTTCACATTGTTTTCTTTTTTTTTTTTTTTTTTTTCCTACAATCTAAAAATACTCGCAACAAGTGAAAGTAAATAAAAAGTATCCATTAAAATTAAAAATGTATCTCTAACAACTTCTATAAAACTTGGATGTAGTTTAACGACATAGACTACTGGTTTTAGAAAGACTTTTTGATGCCCAGTAAGGGGTGTCACCATATATGTATTATTCTATTTATTTACCAGTACTATTGTGGGTGAAATTCAACATGTTCAGCACTTGGGTGCAAGACACATTTCCCAAAAAGTATATCATATCATATGATATCATAACCTATCAGATTTTAATTAGTTGTGCTGGATCATAATATATTATATCATGTCCTATTGCAAGAAAATAATGACATTGATTGTATTATAGCATGATATATGGTGTCAAATAGTTTTACATTCAATGATATATCATATTTTACCACATGGTATCATATCACACCATATCATGTTGAACCCTTACATATTGTACCATATCAAAGCATATTGTATTGTTTTATACTGAGTCATATCATACCATATTGTCTCATATACAGTGGTATCATAATGTATCTACCATATTGTAACATATCACATCATTTGATATTGTATTTTTTCTTATCTCAATGTTTTTTTTTACAGTATCCTATTATATCGTATTGTGTCCTTTTGTATCCTATTGTATCGCTCTGTAAACAGTCCTCTTTAAAGTTTTGATCTATGACTAGCTCATTTCAAATTTATGTTTTTAAACTGAAATGAACAACTCTTTTTCTTTTTTTGCTAACACAATAGAATTTTCAAAAAAGACATTCATGAGGGTTTTTGTACATAAGAAATGCTGTGAAATTAATGATTGGATAAAAACGGATAATTCTGATACTTGTGATGATAATGCAGATGATAATCACACCATCAGAATCTTCTATCTTTGCATCCTTCGCATCTTTAGATAAACATTATCCCCATTCCTACTCCCAAATTTATTGACTACACAAACTCAAGTTTAAAATTGGATTAACTGATTTTTTATTCAACTATCTGTTTATGCTATTTGAATGAGCTCAGTAGCCCACGGGATAAACAGGTTCATTTTCTCTTTACCACTGAGGATGATGATCTCAAACCCTTACAGCCCGGTAATCACTTGTTTATCCTTTCTTGCTTTAAGCATTTGTCCTTATTTTCAAATTATCACAAATGAGGGAAACCTCAAAGAGTTTCTGGGGCTTATATAAAGGTTTAATTTGAATGAAATGAAGCTCAAGTTGATCTAAAACTGGTGTTTTTGACAGATCAGCTATTTTAAAGTCGGAGCTGTTAGTGGTCGGAGAGTATTTCCAAAAAAGAGGCCCATTCTGTAATCAGATAAACACACGGTAGTGTTTTGTGGCCTATGGTCAGAGAGAGTACGCTGCACTTTGTCAAGTATATACTTTGCTTCAAAAATGGAAAGTGGACCATAAATATGGAGCTGTGTGTGTGTGTGTGTGTGTGTGTGTGTGTGTGTGTGTGTGTGTGTGTGTGTGTGTGTGTGTGTTAACGCACAGCACAAACACTCACCCAGGTCAGAACACTGCACCACCTTCAGACTACACTGACACTCAAACGGACACTTTGGCTGCTCATCAGTGATCAGTTCCTCAAAGCCTGATCCTTCCTCTCCATCACTCATCATCATCTCCATCAGGCTCTTCACGTCTACGGTCTTCCCCAGGTCAGCAAGGCCCCTCTGCTGGAAGGGCAGGACCATGGAGGGGGTGGGTGACGGTGATACATTCACCACCAGGAACAACATATAGAGGAGACGCATGATGGGACCGCTCGAGGGGATCTGGAGAGAGAATAGATAATATATTAAGTCCACAATGTGGAGATCTGCAGATCCTGCATCTGTGGAAAGATGGACACAAACAGAGCTGGAGCATTAATCCAATCAAAGAATACAAACCATAAAATAAGGTCAGTAGGGGATGTGAAGCAATCCTAACACAAAGACAGGTTAACGCTGGATCCTTTCTCCAAAATATGAATCAGCTGGATCAGCTTGGTGCACGGAGTTCATGTGCAGCAGCAGCTGATTCATGCGCACAATATTCTTTATTCCCCATGATGCATCCCTCCCCCGTATGGTTGATAAAAGCAAACCCTATATTTTCGACGACATCCATCATCGTAGAGCAAAAACCACCAATTTTATGGTTAGAACTAAAATACCAAAGAAGATGTTGTTGGGTGGAGGTGCAGTCTTTAAGGGAGGACGTATGACATTCGATATTTAGAGTGAGAAAAGTTTTGGTACAGAATATTACATGTTGCATTCAAAGGCAGAAAATAAGGTGGTAACATCAATTTTGGGCTGGAGGACATGCAGGAACATAGGAACACATATGTGTGAATCCCCTAGATAGATCGATGGATAGATAGAAAACTTTATTGATCCCCAATGTGGATACTCATTTGCCACCTCATCAATCCATGCAAACAACATGGACAGTACACTTATGATACACAACAAGAAAACAAATGATACCAGACAATGAAAACATTTGATGCATTATTTACGGCTTGGGGTTGTAGATTTAGTGAGAATGTTCATTAAAAAATCTGACTGCTGCAGAAGCCGCTCAGTAGACCACTGAGGCATCACTAGCCGATCACTGAAAAGAGCTCCTGAGTCCATCAAAAACACTGTGCAGAGGATGACCTTCAAATGTGAGGATTGTCCTTGGTCCTCGTTCTCTTCTCAAAGGTGACCTCTAGAGAGTCCGGGTAATGCCAATCATCAATCCAGCCTTTTTGATCAGTTTATTGATCCTATTGTTATCATCAGCACAGATATTTTCCAGCAAAGCACAGTATAAAAAAGGACACTAGCCAAGATACCTCAATGAAAGACACACAGAAGCTTCCTGCTAATGTCAAGGAATCAAAATTTCCTGAAGAAAAAAAGTGGTCTGGGTGTTAGAGCTTTCAGTTATCAGGTATGAAGCTCAGAGCTGTTTCAGGTCTAGGCCAGCTCTCTGTTATGCTGATTCAAGTTTAGACTGCAAGGGTTCTGGCGCATTGAGCACCTTTCCCTTCTTCTCCATCCTCTTTCTGTCTGCATCAATATTTTTGAATCATCATGTCCCATTAGAGTCACTAATACTCAGTCTTTTCTGGGAGTTCCTGAGCTCCATGAGCCTGTAGGTTCCTCTGGATCACTGCTGTAGATGTTATGCTGCCGTAGACCTGCCTGCTTTCAAGCTGCTTCACCAGCAAGTGTGAGTCTCACCATTTCTCTCACTGTTACAAAACTAATACTGTTAAAGTTTTTGATTCTCTCTATTTGAGTGGAGTGTTGTTGAATATCGACCATCACAGACTGAGTTTTCCATCAGCAGATCATTGTTAATTTCAAAGGAAAGTATATCAATGAAATATGGCAAATTTAAACACTCAGTCGAGAAAAAACGTTGAGTTAATGTGCAAATTAAGACTTTTAAGATCACTTTCCCATCATAATTGTGCAAGAGAACCAACAGCAACAACTCAAGTTTATTTCCTCAGACTTATCTGTTGCTGTGATTTATTGCTATGTTTTTATGACAGTTTATGCACAGAATCATAGATATAGCTCTGACAATATTGAGAGGGTTGTAGAGATAAAACAGATGAGGATATAACAAAAATGCACAGGTGATGTGTCGTGTCAGTCCTGCTACCCCCTCCTCTCATGAGCAGCTCCCACAATGAAAAGAAAAATAAAGTGAAATAAAAATTGAAAAAAATCAGTCATCTGGCAAACTGATCTCTTATTCTGGGATGGATCACCATGAGTTCACATGATAATCCCAGCCAGTAAGAAGTAAACCTTTTTCACGCATCTAAAAACCCAGAGTTGACCCTGAATTTACCTCATCAACCACAAATCCAGCTTTTTGGTAAACCACCCTGATCCCCGAGGTCAACACATCAAACTGCTTCTATATATATAATCCGCTGAATATTATACATCTCTGTTCTCTTCACTTAATGACAGGTCCCAGATTTCAAACTCAGCAATGAGACCTAAACTGCTCCGTAGGCTGGTCCTCATCATGTCAAAGCAGAGAGTAACACAGTGTTCTGTGTATTTATAGGGCGCTTTTCGGTAAACTTGCTCTTTACTTGACTTCTCTTTAGTCTCCAACCATTTCAGGCCATAAAACCAGATCCCAAAACTGGTTTGCCTTGTAAATAGCAAAGTTTAGAGCCAAAATGAGGAGAGACTGTTTTTGGTATGGCTGCTGCCATTATGTGGAATACAGACTCTGGCAAGTGTCTGAGTGACTTAAAGAAAGTAAATGCAATTGTTTAAAATGTGAAAACATTTCAAAAGGTATAATTAATAAGTATGAATGTATCCAGTTATTTTGATAGTGTTTTTAATGTGTTTATGTTCTATTTATTATTGTGTTTATATCATCTCAGTCTCAGTGGGTTTTCCAGCTGAAATAAAGAGAGACAAAAACATTGGATGTCAAAGAAATATGGAGGTGGTCAGAGATGCATTCATCCACACTGGTCTTGCAATATGTGGACCACAATATGCACCACCCACTATCCTGTAGCAACAAACATATGGAGTAAAAGACAACCCACTTCTCCCATTTGACTGATTAGGTATATCCCAAGTGTGCCTCCTAAAAACTGACTGCTTGTGTTACTATAAACGCATGAATACAAAGTAAATGCATTGTAGAGTGTGCATGAAAATACAGCTGTATAGGGTCCATATTTATTTAATTTTGCATATGTCAGTGCAGTACTGATGAAGAAGGTGAGACAGTGTAAGTCAGAGATTAATCAAAGAAAAGTTTATCAAGTTTATAATGAGACAGATGATTTATAGATAGGATAACCTTTTGTTTGTCATCACCATAGACTGTATATACTATGGACAACTTGGCTCCGCCTTCCACCATTTACGAGTTTGAAGCTGAATTGCTCTTCGTATTTCTGGGATTTTCTCCACTTCCTGGAACCACCACTTGCACAGTAGTATTGTACGCATTCATCGAGAGAGTCGCAGAGAGTCGCTGTGATGACGCCCGGCTCAAACAGCGTATCCCCCCGGGTGAGCTACGTAATCTTCGTAGGCCCATAGGCTGTATCAAGTGTCAATCATAGAAAACATGAACCCCCGAAGAACTTTTTAAAATTGAGCTGCACAAAAAAAAAGAGGACTTGAGCACAAACCAGTTTTACAGTAACTACATGTCAACATCGCAACCAAGGGGGAGAAATACTTATATTCTGTGTAATCAATTTCTAAAGTTTATCCACAGCTCCATAGGGATTGGTGGAGGAGGCGGGATTTATGACCTATACTGCTGCCCGTCACCACAGGGTGCTGTTCTTTGGAGTGGCTTCACCCAGTAAGGAGGCTGACAGCGTCCATTCTATATACAGTATATGGTCATCACCAGCCATCTTGAAACATTAAAATTCATATATATATATATATATATATATATATATATATATATATATATTTTTTTTTTTTTTTTTTTTATATATAAGATATCTTTAAAAGTCTGGAGTTGAATAAGTTGAGTGTTTGTTTGCATACAGAGCAGGAAGTTGAGATCTGATCACAAGTGGTCACCAAAGACAACTTTAAAGGCTTTTAATGATGCAAAAATGGGAATTTACATTTGAACGACCCCATCATCAATCCCTATCAACATGCTTCCTTTAGGCTGGGAGTGTTAAGTATTTTTACCTTTTAAAAATACTTTATAACTTTATATGTAGAGCACTAATAAAAAACTGGATTTAAAAAAAGGCAAAAGAAGAAACCCACAGAAAATTCCCCCACAAACAACATAAGAACCCAGAAGAAACATTGACAGGAGGAGCACCATATGAAGCTAAGGAACATATCATAAAAACCCAGAACCTAAATGAATTCATGTAACACAGGAACCCAACCACATGGACCTGAGGCCCAGAGATGAGGGAGCATCAAAAGTCGAGGTGCTCGGATGGAAAAGGTTAGATTGTCTTTAGTTTTGGAAGGACCAGGAGCCCCACCCCACCCCAGGGTCTAAGGCTGCAGGCTGGCTGCCTTAACAATTCAGTAAGGTAGCTTGGATCCAGACTGAGAAGTGCTTAAAGTGATGAGTAAAATCTAAAAATCAACTTTAAAACTTAGAGGGCGCCAATAGAGAGAAGCTTAATCTGGTTACCATGCTAAGATTTTCAACTCAATCTAAACCATGATTTTCATTAAATCTACCATTTTTTTGCTTATTAGCATGTAAAGCCATTACCGTACTTGCCAAATAGTAAATTGCCATTTAATTATTATCCCCCTAAAAAGTTTGTCTTTATAGGGAACTATAAAGATTTCCATAATATGGCTTGATGTTGGTTTTAAAGTCCTGAAGAGCACGCTGTGAAAAGATAAATGTTATAATCATTTAGAAAGATTGTTTTAGAGATTTTCTCATACTTCATGGCTGCATGTATTCAAAAGAGCATCTCAAACACACACTGTCTGAGCTCAGAGAGCACTCAGCCTGACTCAGTTTTTATTTAATCTTGCCAAGCTAAGGGTTTAATTTACAGTCCAAGAAACCTCTGTTTTGAATGAGAGTGCAAAACGCTTTTCAAGCTCAAATGAAAGTATGAGCATCTTTGTTTTTACATCCGTGTGAGCTTTGTACCCTCCACAGTGCTCTTTTCTGCAGAGGGAAACTCATCCGCCTTTACCACAGTGTGGCCCGTGGGAGGCCACTAAACTGCAGCAGATTTTTATAGCACATATGTTATGGTAAGAACTTTTTTTTCTGAAGTCAACAGAGGGTCAGAGAGGCTGATGTGCAGCTTCAGAGTATTTATGAGCTCTGATCTTGGTGCAAACTTGTAGATATTTGCAGATAAAGTTTGAGTTTTCCATCACATGCATTTTCTATGAGTTTAAAAAAACATACAGAAGCATTACAGGCAATTTATATAAAAAGTAAAACAAAATGAATGTAAAGTTTGGCATGCAGTTGTACAAAATTTGAAGTTTGTCAAGCATCATTTTTCTTAAATGCAAATAACTGCATGAAG